CATTGAAAGATTCAAGACTATCACCTGTAATTGTCAGGATTCATTGAAAGCAATGCCTTGTACAGGTTAGCACCTTCTTCTAAGCGTCCAAGTTTTACCAGAAGAGTAACCTCTTGTTCCTTGAATGACAATTTATCAACCTGAAATTTTTAAATCATCAACAGTGGTCAATTCTCTATCAAAAGTTCCATCATATTGACTTGCTAAGATTTTCGCTTTCGGAACTTACAATTTTGAACTGCTTCTTCTGCAACTCATCAAAAGCTCTTTCGTGTGAGCCACATTCCTCTAGTAAAGATACCTACAAAAAAAAAAACATACCCAGTTATAATTTTTTTTTAACTGCATATAGCCATACTAATTACTGCTCATTTGTAGACATAAAATCAATCCACAAATGCAAGAGATAGGTTCTGTCTCTCGTAAAATATACAAAGAAATGTATATGGGCCCCCAAGTTCAACTGAGAAATCACTTCTTATATCACTTATGAGATCATGTGCACAATAAAAAGCATATCCTGTTTCTATAAATGCATTCCTGGGAACTAGATGCTGAGAGTATTGAGCCAGGCATTTAATAACAATAAAGAAACAAGTACACAAAGAAAAACAAGTTAAAAAGAGAACAAACACTTCGCTTGAACCCAGATCCTTATTTTGCACAATTTCAGCAAGTGCAGAGGAACAAAAAAACAAAGTTCAAGGGCTGAGAAATTTAATATATGAACCCAGAGCTACAAAGACATCTTGAAAGCTTCACAGATATTCACTGTAACATAATTTAAAAACCTCAGATCAAGTGACGGATACACTAATGGCCCCAAGACCAAACACAATATTCTACCTTTTTTTATACAATAACAATTCCTGCATGTTAGATTCTAAAGATAAAAGATACGAAAAAGCTCATGCAAAGATATGGATGAGTTTGTGTTCACAATCCCACCTTATATAGAAGCATTTCCCCATGTTCACATCGTTCATTATCGGGAGGATAGTCATCCTCTAATGTTCCTTCATAGGCCTCCAGAATTTCAACTGCTTTCGATGCACTGGTAAAGAACAGGTGAGATGATTCAGTGGAAGAAGAAAAGAACAATCCTGTCTCAAATCAGAGAAGGGAATTCTCAATTCTGACGCATGTCAAGCCAACATCTATGATAGACTCTAGAATATAGCAGTCAAGCAATAATTTCTAGCATCTTAGATATCTATAAACATGAAAAAATCATGATGTTTGTTCCAAGGTAACCTTTAGCAGTAAACAAACTAGGTAAATGCAAAGGTCAACCGTACTTTGAGTTCAAGTGGTGAGCAACAGCAAAGCCAATCCAATTCATTCTATGATTTGGCTTCAGGGTCAGTAGTTGTTGCCTAGTCTGAACAAAACCATCCAAATCCCGCATTTGTGCCTGCAAGAGAAACATAACAAGATCACACTACACAGTTTTACAAGGTAAGTATGTACTCATGCAAATACATGTTAACGCGGAATGTAGTGGACGAGTTGAAGGGAATATTCCTACCACAATTGCTAATCGCTAGCTTTAAAAAATTTCTAAGTGACTTACTCAAACAGTTCTTTAAGCATTATATGAAAGCTACTAGTTTCGATTCTCTCTTTCACCAAATTGAGGTGCCCTGACTGCTAAAACAGAGCAGCCAACAAACTTTTAATGGCATCAACTAAGAGGTTAGGCCCGTCAACACCTTTGGGCCTTCTCCAATCTCCCCAAATAGCATATAACACTTATCAACCAATAATTAAAGGTTCATATCAAATACTAACATTTCTTGTTTTCGGATTCAGTCGATAAAGTATGGCAGTAATACAGCTTTTTTCGGAGGCAACACATGACACTTCTTAACCAGCAATAAAAGGTTCTTATCAAATGCTACGATTCCTTGTTCTTAAAATTAGTAGATAAAGTAGTAATAAGCTCTGAAATGACTAAATTCAAAGAGCACAATTCTTTCTCGATGCATGCAGAAAGACATTCCTTCTGCTCTCTGCAGGTAAGAGACATTTCTACTTCTCAAACCTACTGCACCAGGTCCTAGCTGGTACCCAGAATAGTATCCCACATGTTTTCTATCTTCCCTCAAATAATCAAACAAGATGTAGCATACTGATCTTCAGCAGTTACAAGTACACAGATAAAGAATCATTCTCCGGTAACAAAGAAGATGAGGCGCGGATCAGAAACCATATGTTTCTACTTTCTACAACCAGTGTGAAACAGATACAAGTACAACCATACAGCCAGTCACCATTGCTTACATGATTCAACAAACATAAAACAGGAGCTTAGGACTTCAAAAGAACCAGAAGCAAACTGAAGTTCTGTTCCATGCAGAAGAACAGTAATTTGTACCTGTAACAGTGACAAGTCACGCAGTATTTCAATATTGTCTGGATCTATTCTCAGTGCATTGCGATAGCATTTGATAGCTTCTCTGTACTCCCTATCAGACCGATAGAGCAGACCATATACATGCCAGCAAACATGACTTTTAAGATCATTCTGCAGAAAAAGCACATACACAACACATATGTTCTTCAGAAACAGAAAAGAAAAAAAGCAAAGTAGAAACAACAAGGCCAAGTACTCTGACAGACAAACATATTATTTCAACCTTCAGGCCCAGGCGGACAAGTTCGTATGCTTCAGGTTTACGATCCATGCAATTTAATGTCAAGCCCTTCATCGACAAAGTTTCTGAAAAGGGAAAGAAAGGTTAGAGCAAAGGATAAATTTCATGCAAGAAAAATAACTCTTTACATGATAAAACAGATGCTACCCTGGACCTTTTAGGGAATTGTACTCCATTGAATTGGATCTATACCATTGTTAGAAATTACAAGAAAATGATGGGTTGCCGCCAAGATATATAGCTTCAGTTACTAGGTTCATGCAGGTAATTACACAAGTACCAACTACAATTCCTAAGTACAGACTATGCCTGCGTTTTGCAATATGACATTCAAAATCGAGGTCCCAGATCTCTCAATAAAGTTGTGTCAATGTCAGTACAAGGGAGCATCTAATTGTTAAAAAATTTGGTTTCCTTTGCAGTTTCGAGGACCACCTTTTCTACCAAAGCACTTCAGATGTTTAGAGTTACCACTCTCTTGTCCTCAACAAGAATAGGTAAAACATACAAGCATGCACCATGAAGAGACATCACTCAATCTCATAGAATACTACTCAAGCACTTTAAATTCAAACCCACGTACATTTAGCAGTAAGCATTGATCATAGGATCCATGTAAGGAGTAAAAGTTGAAATTCTCATAGTAAACAACGACCCAGGAACTGATGTATTGCTTCAAGCTTCATCAACTGATTCAGCAAGAAATTACCTCCATGGTCAGGGAACTTTTTCAGTATAGCATCAGCGGCCTTCAACCCCTTCTTATACTGCTTGGTTTCATAGGATTTCTGGCACATTTTATCAAAGGTAAAAGAGTTAATAAAGATGATTTGACATGAAAGTGGTCGCCTAACTGACTAAGAGAAAAGAATGTCAAGACAAGAAGCAACATGGAACAGTGAATATAAGTACGATCAAAATTTTAGAAGTAATGGTAATGGCACACAAACTCTGCAGAAATGAAGTAGGTGCGTAATAAACATCCACTACGAACCATCTCTAAAATCATTAGGACCAAGTCCAGGAATTCGGGAGTTGTAGCAATTCCTAACTAGGTAATGGTTGGGTAATACTCTAATTCATTTTCAGGAAATGCAATGGCGAACTCCCAAACTTGCAGTGTGGCTTAGTTGAAAATGAAATGTTCTACATCACCCTAGTCTAGATGCTTAATGAAACACATCATAACTCAACAAGATTGGAGATTTTTGTAGCCTAACCAAACCAAATGTCACCGTGCATTGGACACTTCTTGCATGAACATCATTTCATCAATTAAAAGATATAATGTAGAACTGATCCACCAAATGGAAGCAGAAAAAGAACAAAGTGAGAGCAAGACCCCTACAATCGACTTCCCTTTCGATACAATTGCTCAGATCACATAACTACATTTTCCCAGCCTAACTCGCTAAACAAACTACTAAGCTCATCCACAAACCATAGGAGAGTATAGTCTAGTTCGAAGCCAAGCAAAAAAACTTCCAAACTACCAAGCACCGAAACCACCATTCATCCATCTTAGTCAAAGAATCAAGACCGGCGGGCAGGGGTTTAGTAGAATCGGTGGCGCAAGCAAAAAGGGCAAGACGGTGAACGACGGAGGAATGAGAATTTGCGAGCGGGGAAGAAAGAGGGCTTACAACGATGAGCTTGAAGAGGTTGGCCTCTTTCGGTGGCAAAGAAGCTCCCATTGTTAGTATCAGAGAGGGAAGGAAGATGGACAGATAGGGTTTTAGGAAGATAGAGATGGAAGAGGTCGAGATTTAAGGATTAATGGAGAAGAAAGATTTGTAACGGCAATCGGAGGACGGTGGAGTGAGAGCGGAGGAAGGAAGCGAAGTGGTGGAAGAGGGAAGAAGAAGAAGAGCGGAAGCGGGGGAAGTCGTGGTGGCGTTTATCTGCTGCAAACCCTTCAGTCCCCGCTCGCACACAGCAACCCTACTAGTGCACTGCAACAGTTAGCGGCTGAATATTTGTTTTGTTTACTCATTTTTAAGTCCGTCCTAGTTTCTTTCGACCCGAAAAAGTCCGTCCTTTCTCCCTCGTACCACTACTCGTTGCTATGTGCTTGTAAAACATCTTAACCCCATTTAGTATTGTTGCATGTTTTTGTTTTCTGTTGTGTTTTTCAAGATTGGAAAAATCAAGAAAAAAAAACATGTTTAGTTGGGTTTCTATTTTTTTGTTGTGAATCAGATTTGCACAATAGGGCCCAAATTTGAGAAACAACAATTTATTGCTTTGGATTTGATTCTTCTACATGTTTTACACGGGATGCATCGGGTGGGGAAAACGAAGAATGATATTAACTTGACTAAGCCTCTTTTGCATATCCAAAATATGGCTCATGTCACTTCAGACCAGGTGGTACAATTTTCAATGGAAGAAGTCCAATCAACGAAGTATCGCGCTTCTCATTCGTTGTTGGGCAGGGTTTTCATTTCTAATAGGATCTCTATGACAGAGTTGAGAGATTCGGTGATCACTCCTTGGCTCATCCAAGGGCGACTCGGGGTGGTGCTGGCTAAGCACGGTTTGGTGGAGTTCATGCTCCCAAGCAAAGAGGCCAAGATTTGGGTGCTTAAACGCACCCCCTGGGTTATAAATGACCAGATCATCCATCTCCGGCCATGGACTCTTGCTATCACTAAGCAAACATTTGATGATCTTGCAATTGCCCCATTCCCGATCCAATTGTGGGATGTTGAAGAAGACTGTTGCACGCAGCAGTTTGGAAGAAAAATGGTGAGTGCTAAGATCGGGAAAGTGTTGGAAACAAGTGTTTTCGCCTGTCAAGATACTGGGTCCTGGTTTGTGAAAGTCAAAGTGTTAGTTGACTTTACCAAACCCCTTCGTTCCCAGATCATGGCCACTAATGATGACACAGGGTGCTTCTGGGTTAGCTTAAAATACGAGTACCTACCAAGCTTCTGCTACAAGTGTGGTAGGGTGAGTCATTCACTCCGCGCCTGTACCTTTGATCCTCCTGCACGAAAAGAAAAGTGTGGTCCTCATATGGCCACTAGGAAGCTGGGGACCCGTATTTACGATACGGAGGAGAGCAATCTCGTCTTCCCGAGAGGCGCCAACACGGTTTGGATTAAGAAATCCTACCGGGACCCAAAAGGAAGAAAGGATGAAAGTAGTTTTGCTCATGGTGGGGAGATACAGGAGCCGACTCTCCAATCCCAGCCTCGACAACATCCAGTACCTCCAAGGAAGGTTGCTCTTCCTGCTCCGATGGGGTCTCAACGCAGACAGAGCCCTCGCGGCTTCCGGGTGACGCGGTCGCCTAATCTCATGGTTGGTCGGGCTGCGCGTCCGACCCATGCTCAGAATGAGAATTTTGATAGGGTTCATACCATCACTCGGAGTAATGAGCGGAGCAAAGAAGGAGATAGGGAACTGCAGGGGAGGAAGGAGAGAGATGGGGAACGGCAGGGGCGGCATAGCCAGTAGCCTATGCAAGCGGAGGAAGCTGCCAACTTCCCCGAGGTAGTATTCGACGGCGCTGATGATCAGCGGCCTGCGGAGCACAAGGCGGCCAAGCTCTCACCAATGGAAGTCCATCGCAGAAGGTTGATAGTGGAGGACTCGCAAGATGATTTTGAGCCGCCAGTGCTCATTAAGAAGGAACCTGGAATGATGGCTGATCGTGAGGGGAAGAAAAAGGGTCGCAAGCTTGTGAAGATGGGGGAGGTGACGCAGCCTGCTGGCACATCCCAGGAGAGGCTGACTCCTCGCCAGGTTCGCAAGAAGAAGGGATCCTTGCTGCATCTGCCGGATGATGCGCCGGTAGGCGGCAAACCATCGATCCTGACCCGGTCGGTGAAGAAAAAAGGGAGTTGGAAGGCAAAGGGGGATCCACCTGCTCCTTTAATTGAGAATCATGAGGCGGTTTGCCTGTTGATGGAGAAGGGGAAGTCGATTGTAGAGGACCATCAGGGTGACGAGCGCATTATCTCTGACGAGTCTCTATCGGCGGAGGATGAGCTCCGTTTTGTGATCAAGAGTAGGCGGATGCCTGCTGATCAGGAACAACTTGTTCAGCCTGGTCAGGTGAAGAAGGTGGTGGCTGCTTTTGAGGAAGGTCTAGTCCTCAATGAAGCTAACGGTAGCTTGGATGCTGCGAAAGAAGAGGTGGTCCTTAAGCTAAATGAATATGGCTCCAACCTTGAGGGTGGAAACCGAAAATGGTCAATTCAATAGATGGAGGGGGTGTCTGCAGATAGTCTCACTCCCAAGAGGCAGTTTGTGGAAGATCAAATTGATACTGTTGATGCTGAATTGGTGGAGGAAGCCAGCCAAGAGTGGCCTCGGTATGATAAATGAGGATTTTGGCCTGGAATGTGAGAGGGATTGGGCCATCCCTCACGTTCCAAACTGCTTTAGGTTTAGTTCAATCGAATAAGCCGGACCTTGTTTTCTTTTCGGAAACAAGATCATCCCGGAGAGTAGTTTCCCGGCGTTTGCGGGGAGTAGGGTTTAAGTCTTCTGATTCTTTCTTTGTTGATGCCATTAATGGTGCTGGAGGTCTTGTAATAGCTAGGTCCTCCGGAGTTAACACTTCGGTGCTTTTTCAATTCTAGTTTTTGAATTTGTTCAAAGATTAGTGAAAATGGTTCTTCATATGTGGTGATTTGTGTTTATTTGAGTTGTAATACTGTTGTGCGTGCAACTCAATTGACTCAAATTCATGACATATGTGAGGGAATCCTTCTTCCCTTTGTGATCATTGGCGATCTTAATGTTACCCTTAATGAAAGTGAGAAAGAAGGCGGTAACCCATGGAATGCTTCCCAGTCCATGGACCTCAGGAATTTGATCCAGGATATTGGGTTGCATGACCCAGGTCCCAGGGTACCAGGGGGACTCATTCACCTGGACCAATAAACGTATGGGGTTGGCGTGTATTCGTGAGAGGCTAGATAGGGCACTCTGCTCCCAAACTTGGGTGGATGCTTTCCCCGAGACTCTTGTGAAGCATTTCACGGATCAAGGGTCTGATCATCGGGCTTTGCTTCTGTCTGATAAACCCTATGTCAGGATGTCTCACCCTCTATTTCGTTTTGATGCCCGTTGGGCAGATAATCCAGAAGTCAAGGCTATGGTATCCTATGTTTGGCAGGAGCAAATTCGTGGTACACCGATGTTTCAATTGTGGGAGAGATTGAAGAAGCTTTTATCATCTGCTGTATGACTGGAGCCGAGCGGGTACCACTAATTCCCTGCATAATATCCATACCTTGAAAAGTGAGATTGAGCGTATAAAAGTCGTTCATCCTATCAATTGGCAGGAAGTGGCGGGGTTGGAAACTGAATTAAATAGACAATGGGAGGCAGAGGAAGTGTATTGGCAGCAAAAATCTCGGGTCCGATGGTTGAAAAGGGGCAATAAGAATTCTTCTTACTTCCATACGGTCACAAGAACCCGCCGTAAAAGAAACTTTGTTGTTGGCCTGTATAATGACGAAGGTGATTGGATAACTGAGGAGCGAGGGAAGGCTGAAATTGCCACCGAGTTTTACCAAACCCTCTTCACCTCGGAAAGTCAGGTTCATAATATGGTTGGAAGGGTGGCAGACCTCCCTATTGCTTCTAGTATTACCCTGGAGATGAATGCAAGCTTAACAGCGGAGGTCCTCCCTGATGAGATTTGAAGAACAGTCTTTGTTATGGGTTCAAAGCAGGCGCCAGGTTCGGATGGTTTGACGGGGAAGTTCTTTAAAGCAGTTTGGGGGATTGTTGGGGATTCAGTGATTGCAGCGGTCGGTTCGTTCTTTGAAACTAGTCGGATGCTCCGCAGGTTCAATCACACATGGTTAATGTTGATCCCAAAGGTGGATCAGGTGGAATCCATGCGAAAACTCCGCCCCATCAGACTTTGCAAGTTTGTGTACAAAGTGATTACCAAAATTATGGCAGAGAGGCTGGCGGGAGTGCTGCCCCTAATTGTTTCGAAAGGGCAGAATGCTTTTATCCGAGATAGGCAGATTGTGGAAAATATCCTCCTTGGGAATGAGTTGATGCACTATCTGAATGGTCATTTCTTCTTGCGGTTTTGGCAAAGATGGGTTTTAACTCTCTCTAGAGAGGATGGGTGCAGGAGTGTTTGCAATCAGCATCGTTTTCGGTTCTCATGAACGGGTCCCCATCTGGATTCTTTAGGTCTTCCAGGGGTCTCCGGCAAGGGGACCCTCTCTCTCCTCTTCTCTTTGTGCTTTGTACGGAGGGGTTCGCAGCCCTACTTCAGAAGGCCATTTCTGGAAAGAGGTTAGAAGGGGTCAAAGTAGCTCCTCGGGCTCCTCCCGGATATCTCATTTATTCTTTGCTGATGATTCTTCCTTGTTCCTCCGCGGATCACTCCAGGAGTGTGAGAATCAGATTGAAGTTCTGAATGAGTATGAGGAGCTGAGTGGCCAAAAGGTGAACTTGGATAAATCGGTTGTTTGCTTTAGTAAGAATATCTCCTTGCCAGATCAGGAGTTCTTGGGGTGGGGGCTGTGGGAGTTCATGATAAATATCTTGGCCTTCCTACCTTGATAGCGCGGTCCAAAATGGCAACTTCTGCTATTTGGAGGAAAACTGTTAGAGCGCTTACAAGGTGGGAAACGAAGGACTTTGTCTTGGGCGGCTAAAGAAAAATTGATTAAGTCGGTTGTTCTGGCTCTGTCGTTACATGTTATGTCCTGCTTTAGGCTTCCTCTGTCTCTTTGTCGCCTGTTTGATAAACATATAGCTAGATTTTGGTGGGGTGTGGAGGACGGCCATTCCAGAATTTGTTGGGTGTCTTAGCGAAATTTGTGTCGCAGTAAACATGAAGGGGGATGGGTTTTCGTCGCTTCGAATTGTTTAATCAGGCTTTGTTGGCCTAGATCGGATGGCGAATATTGAATGAACCACAGTCTTTGTTAGCCCAGGTTTATAAAGGGAAGTACTTTCCCACAGGATTTTTCCTCTCAGCTACGGCCCAGTCCCGTCCGTCTTGGGGATGTCAGAGCATTCTGTTTGGCCGCCAGTTGTTATCTAAGGGGTTACGTTGGCAGATTGGTAATGGTCAGACGGCTCAGTTGCTCAAGTCGAATTGGGTCCTGTAACATCATCCTTTTCCCCTTGTATTTAACCCACGAGTTCTGCCTGAGGGTGGAGATGTGAAGGTCGCTGAAGTTCTCTGCTCAGGGGAAGGGCGCTGGTGTGATAATAAGCTGAGCCAATGGTTTGATCCCCAAACTTGCAAGGCGATTAAGGCAATTCCCCTTCCGAGGCAAAATATTGAGGATCGGCGGATTTAGCATGGCACTGCGGATGGTGTCTTCTCGATGAAATTGACGTACCACCTTGCGGTTTGTTTGGATCAGTAGAATGGTCGTTGGCGGGTTCAGGTTAGCTGGATGGATATGGAGAATTGGATCCGGCTTTGGGATGCCAATATTCCCCCAAAGATGAAGGTGTTTGTTTGGCAAATCTTTAATAGAATTCTACCAACGACTGAAGCGTTTATTGAAGCATATGTTCCTTGACTGTCTTGTGGCCAGGGCGCTGTGGGCTTAGTCTGGTTTAGATTATCTTGGCGAAGGTTTGCCTCGTCATACGTTCCCCTTCTTCCTGAAAAAGTTGCTCTCTATCTTGCACCTGTTAGTGTTGTGGTATATGATCCACGATTGAACCTCTCCCAACAACTCGAGTTATTGGGATCAACTGGTTCATGACATGGTATCAGAGCCTTCTGTGACCGAGAGGTCTTGTGTTCGATTCCCGGTGACCCCCATTTGTTAAGCACATGGTATTCTTGTCTTCAGACCTGTCCAAACTTCAAGCTCTTGTGAGTGGCTTTTGTTTGAGGGGGCGTGTTAGTGTTGTGGTATATGATCCACGATTGAACCTCTCCCAACAACTCGAGTTATTGGGATCAACTGGTTCATGACAACACCAACCCTCGTAGTTCATGTTGGTAATTGTTGTCCTTTGGAGGATCTGAAAATCTCGAAATTGAGTTGTCTTTGAAGGCAAACAGTTTGGGATTCCTGTCTTAATGAGGCAGTATAACCAGCAGGTTGGTGAGTGGCTACGTTTGCCGCCTGATCCTCAATCCGTTCCAGTGTTTATCCAGCTGACCCCTTCGGTGGCGTTGGGTGGGTCTGGGGGGCCTGTGTGTCGGTGGGATGAGGTAGTGCGTAGGGGGTCTCACGCTGCGGGAGGGATGGTTGTCCTAAACGAGGCAGGGAGCGTCCTCTTGGTTGTCGGGATGCAGTTCCCTTTTGTTGATGATCCCATGGTGGTGGAGTTACTTACCCTCCGGGAGGCTATCCGTTGGTGTTCGGATCATGGGTTTTCGGTGATGCAATTTGAAGGGGATGCCAAGGTGGTCATTGATAAAAAACGCCAAGTGGATGTGCGGGATAGTCGAGTAGGGGCTATTTTGGAGGAGATTGTGCAAATGCTTGCGGTAAATTCGGGCCTCCCGTAGGGGGTCTCACGCTGCGGGAGGGATGGTTGTCCTAAACGAGGCAGGGAGCGTCCTCTTGGTTGTCGGGATGCAGTTCCCTTTTGTTGATGATCCCATGGTGGTGGAGTTACTTACCCTCCGGGAGGCTATCCGTTGGTGTTCGGATCATGGGTTTTCGGTGATGCAGTTTGAAGGGGATGCCAAGGTGGTCATTGATAAAAAACGCCAAGTGGATGTGCGGGATAGTCGAGTAGGGGCTATTTTGGAGGAGATTGTGCAAATGCTTGCGGTAAATTCGAGCTTTAGTGTGCGATTTGTAGGTCGGTATAGCAATAGGGTAGCTCATATGGTAGCTAGAAAGGCCTTGTCTTTTTTCCCGTCTATATGTCGTTATTTTGATTTTCAGACCTGGCTGAATTCCAGGATGTAACTATCTATTTATTTCAATCAATATAAGATTATCTTTTGTAAAAAAAAATAGTTAAGTAATTTGACGCTTGGATAAATTTATGATTTCTAATAGACTAATATTAAAAATATCAATGTTTATCTTATGATACTTGGATTCTTTAACGTTCACGTTCTCAATGTTTATCATAGTCCAACTATTTATGATTACATTCTCTAATCTAAACTTTTCCTTTGTTAGTTATCTTAAAAATATATATTGATCAACGATTCTTGGTGTTTAGACTATTTTTAACTTAGACACTTAATTTGATTACACATGCAATAACACCATAAAATAATTTCGGTGCATATG